GGAATGTAACTAATTAGATTTTTTCTATTATTTTCCATCAAACAGCTCATTCCATTAAAGGCTTCTTTATCTATTTCTTAGCAGCTTTTCTATACAATTATATATATTGATTGTAAGAAGTAAAAGAAGCATCCAAGAAATATAAAATACTGCTAAATGTAGGGAAAGCTAAGAAGTAGATTAATATATAGATAAAAGCTAACAGCAGGATAAATAACCCCCATCCAAATCATGAACAGTTAAAAGCTTTGTTTAATAAAAATGGTCACCAAAAAGGCTAAGAGTGTGGTTCTGCTAGACATAATTTAACTTATTCTTATGTTTCTACTGTTCTACTCAGCCTTTGGTACTGTAGTACATATTTACATAGGTATGAGAATATTCTACTGAAAAACATAAACTAAAAAAGGTATTCCAGTTTGAACATTCACCTCCCTTTGTTATCTTTTAGCAAGCTCTTAAACATATTTTAATTGTCATTTTGTTTGCTATGTCTATAACAAATATTTTCCCTCTTCTTTTCAGCATGACTAAGACTGCAATGTTATACATTTTCCTAGTAGTAAGCTCCATTTAGCACAACTAGGTTTACTTCTGAAAAAACACATATAGGACGGCATTCTAAGCCAGATGAATTCAATTCGAAATGGCAAATCCAAACTTGTTAGGCAAGTAGAGGATTGGGAGCAAGAAGGGATGTTTGATGCAAATATCACCTGGGAATGATGCAAACATGTTCTGAGTTTGAGAGGAATTTAGAACTGTCACTGAAATAAAATTAGAATCACTTTCATTTCTCTTTTACAATATATGTTTTAGATAGGTTAGCTTTATAAAATTGAATAAGTTTTGCTCATATTATTGCATATGCTTTTGTTATAGCTTGTTTTGAAATTATTTTTGACTATCAGTTAAACTGGTAGAAATGCAGTAGAGATATCATGAAAACAAAATGTGTAGTAATATATTTCAGTCTGTTATTTTCATGAAATTTGCTTGACTTCATTTGGGAGAAAAGAATAACATCTAATAGTCTATCTCCTCCAAACATTTATAAAGGTGTTAGTTATATGGCCTTTTCTAAGTCATCTTTTTACAAGCGAAAAAGGGAGGGCTGCAATATTTAATTAGTAGTGTTTTGGATAACTGTTCACACCATACAAGCCTGCCTGACCATTAAAATCTCCTGAGACCCCTTTCCTAATGCTACCAGCTGGTGAAATTGAAAAGGTTGCTTTTGAAGAGAGGGCTTTTTCAATGGTTCCTTCCCCTAATAGCTATGAGGAGGAGATTGTACCTATTCTCTTGTTCCACATACAGAAGTCCCTTGGATCTTACTTCAGTAGTGATGACGGAAGAGCAACCTCCACCAAGGCTGAGACCAGCAGGCTAGTTTTAACAGGGTTTGGTCCAGCCATGTAGAATATGCCACTCCGTCCTCCAGCATGGCTGCAGAGTTAGGGAAAATCAACCAGGGCACTGTCACTCATGTGCCTGGCATCTCCCATATGAGAGAGCAGTCTCAGCTTGCCTGGTAGGGCCTGCCCTGGCCTTCTTTGTTCTCCTTTCAGCATCGAATTAAACTCACCTTTTCCACAAGATTTTAAAAATTGAACTTTGCTTTATTGTTTATTTGTTTTTGAGGGGGTTGTTATTTGGATTGCTAGTTTTATGCTTATTGTAATTTACTAATTTAATTGTTTATTTAACTTAGTGCAAGTTGCATTGAATGCACTGTAGGAAAAACCTCACATATTCTTAAAATACATATATACATACCATGGGCAATGCAGGATGCATACATTGCTATGAAGGATACACAAAAAAGTGGCAGAGATATTCCATCAAGCAGTGACAATATGGTGTGATCTTGTACAACCACTGCATTTACTTTGTGATCATTAATGACAATAATTTTTCATTTATGAGTTAGGTTGACATTTAGGCAGTCACACTTTGAGGAACAGATCCAAGTGACAGCCTGTGTTCTTTGAAGTATGTTTTTTGTTTTGTTTACTTTTAATCTTTACCTGTAATGATAGAATCTGCTTCCTTTCAAGATCTTACGTTCCTATTCACACTTACTTGAAGCACAACAGGACCTACCCCTAAGTTAAGATGGATAGAAGCTGGCTATCTATATTTAGGATCAAGATTTAGATGGAGACCTCCAGGAAACAATAGCACTCTTGTTGCTACATCTATAGCCAGCATAAGGACTTAAACAATTTAAATACAATTTTAAAAGATGGTATCTTATGATCAAGATATGTATCAGAATTTAATATTGATATATTAAGCAGATGCCTTTTACTTTTCTCTATATACTTTCAAATTCCCTTGAAGTATTTCACTTAATTACTGATTAAATCCAAAGTGACAGAGGCAAAAGCATGAACAAAATAAAGATATATGGGAAGGAGACAAAGACATGACAAACAAGCATAATGATTGTTTCACTTTCTAGTTTATTTGACAAGAGGAAGTAAAAGAAAGAAAATGTGACAAATCTAGGTGGGGAAGAAGAGAGCAGCATTCTAAAATTCCAGTGGAAGCCTATTGCTTCTCAATTAACAAAATGTGAAACACACTCTATCTTAGAAATTTAACAGTATGAAAAGCAATAGCATTGTACATGCACACTGACATGAGTTTATGCAAAAAGAACCATATCTTTGCAGATAGCATGACTTTAGAGGCAAACAACAGATTTACAGCAATGTTGATTCTCTGGTGTACTTTTTGAACTTTCTAGTTTGGGTGAAAGTTTTTCACATTGACTACTCTGCTAAAGAACGCTTGTTCATTGCAGAGGATTCTGGGATATATTCAAGGGCATACTACCTTCTTGTAGTCTTAACTCATCCACCATGAACTAAGAGTATAGCCTAGAACAGACTTTTCCAGCCAGGGGCCTTCCAGATGCTTTTGACTTCAGTCCCAGCCAAAGTAGCCAGTGGTGAGGGATGCTGGGAGCTGTAGTCCAGAACATTTGGGAGCTACTAGTTGGGAAAGCTAGAAAGTAGCTGATACTACCTTGCTATGGTACATTAGGCAGAGGGTGGAGACTCCTATGTCAGTGGGGATTCTCTTCCATTGCATTTTTTTTCTGCATGGAGTGGACTTTCCCCACCTCTGCTAGCAAGAATACCCCCCTCCAACTGCCAGCTACCCTCTGTCCAGGGCATTCTTGCTGGCAGAGGTGGGGAAAGTGCACCCCCTGCCACTACTGCTCCTTTTGCTAATGGTTGGAGCCAGGTTTGTCTCTTCTTGGGTGTCCAAAGAGCATAATGCTAGTGGGGTGGCCTTTACACAAATTTAATAAATGAATAAATGCTGAATTTTAAAAGAAAACCTTTGAACAAATTTTATTGTGTGGATTTACCATTGGTTTTATTTTTCTTTTGCTTAGTATGTCACCTTGAGTACTTCAGCTATAGGGCAAATCATAAATTGGATAAAGGGGCAACCTTAAGCAAGTTTAGACAGGAAAAAAGGCCTTCATCTTCCATCTGCTGGAAGTTATAGGGATTTTTCTGTCTAAGCTCACACAGGATGATGCCTTAAATGAATTGACTATGGAACTGAAGGAATATATATACACCAGTCTCTATCACAAACAAGGAAAGCAAATGGTGCTGGGTTGTGTGGATTTCTGGTTTGTGTAAACCTGTATTTATTAGAAATTATTGTAAGCCCTCCTGAGAAACATTCAATAAAATATGAGATATACATCTTCTAAATAAGTAAGATATCATTTTAGAGCACCTGATAAGCTTTAAAGAAGCCCCAGGGTCTCTCAGAAAACAGTTTTCAAGCCATGGCATTGGTATAGTATGCAGTTTCCATATTGGCCTTAATAAAGTGGAAGACAGAACATTTTAATGAACTAATCTCCATAGCTACATTTTCCAACTTGAGAACTTCACTGAGCTCTGCTTAAAATTATAGCAATGCTCCTGGCCTACATTTAGACTTCTTTGATCTAACATAAGTTATCACTCCTAAACTGTTTTAAGATCACATTCTTCATATTTTCTCATGACCTTTTTGATTGTGGTATTCTAACTCAACCACTATTACAGCAATTCCCAAAGCTTTTCTGGTATTTTGCAAGAGATAATGAAATGCAATGACAAAAAAGGACATAACTACAAGCAAGCCCAAACAGAGATGGATCAAAAAATGAAAACTAGACAGTTGAACTAACCTGAGAGGGGAAAAAAGGTGGCTTGGAACAAGCCTATTGAAAATATATATGATCCCCAATTCTACTCATACGGTCATAGCTCCTGGAATATTCAAATACTTCTTGATGTAACACTTACTAGTGCTGATAATTTAAATTCTGGGATGGGGAACCAGTGGCCCTCCAGATGTTTTTTTGATGAACAGGTGTTAGAATATAAATACTCTGTGAATCTTCAGGTTTGTTATAAAAAATACCTTCCTATAAATCACCTGTCGCATTCCATCACATTTCCTCACATATTCTCCAAGTAGGTGGTTCCTACTATGGGAAACTTTCAGTTAGCATCTGGGACTAGGAAATGGGTGAAGGACATTGATGTTCTCCACTAGTCAGCATATCCTCTTACACAAAATAAAGTAAATCCTGCAGAATCTAAAGGATCTATAAAGGTCTTCCTTTAAAAGAAGGGACACCTGAAAAACATCTCTATGATCAAGCTATACCCCTGACAGAAGATACTCCTATCCTAGTTCATATAACAGAGATACCTTCAGCTGCTGAGTATATTTGGAATTTATGTCACATGCACACATTGTGTACACGAATGTGATTGCATGTTAATCAGTCCAGACCACCTGCAACTCCTTGGTTCCATACTTAACTAATCCAAATCAGAGTACCTACATTGTCCATAAACATAATTTGAGAAGAAAGGAAAAATAATTTACTCTTAACCAAGATGCTTAAAGGGCATTCAAGGGTGACCAACCTGTGTTAAATAATCTGGCATATACACCTTTATAGTCTGTATACTATCACAGTCCCTGATCTGTTCTCCTACACCTCCACAAGAATCTCCAGGTAAAGAACAAATACCATACGGCTGGAAACTGGATTCAGTTCAGCCAAATTCTTCACAGCACGTATTTTCAGTCCTTTGCCTCCATTACTTGCAGGCAGTGAAAGAAGCAGCAGCCATGGTAGCTAGTTGCCATGGTATCTAGACTTTTGAATGTTTAGATCTGGGAAGGATGTTTCAGGCAGTTTATAGAAAATATTGTTTCCTTGACTTGTAAAATGAGCCCATTTGATATGGGAGAAGTCACTGCAATGCTCACAAGGCAACTCTTTTGCCATCTATGTTCTGTGATTCTCGCAATGGCTTATGAAGTGACAGTGCTCTGGATGCCATGGCAACGGCATGTGGTGGAGGGGAGGGGGAGAAAAATGGGTCATTGACAATGAAGCACCACTGCCACCTGCAGGCAGGGGAGAGGAAATGCAGCCCTACATTCAGCCAGCATCCTCCTAATTCAGTTTGGTTTTCCCCCTGCAAGGTGTTCTACAGCATCTGGGCCCTACTTAGCAGGTGGAGCCTCCTGTTTGAGCTGACTTCTACGATCCAGCTTGCTCATAACCTGGGTGATGTCCACATTGGTGGCTGCTTCTTTAGCCTTGGCTTCTTCCTCCAGTTGCCTCAAGATGACAGGGCTCGGGCTGGAACGGAGCTGTTTGCGAGCGAACGGATTATTGGAGCTGAGAAGAAATGGAGGGCAAAAGAAAAACAGAGGGTTACCATAGGTGACAGTAAGTGAGAAATGGTAGCTGGACACTCAGGGAATGTAGGAGTTGAGAAACTGCATCAAACTAACTTTATGCTGCTTTGGGCTGTTTACAAAAATCAGTTATCCTTGGATAACATTCTCAAATCTTATTGATTTACTAATGCACACAAGAAATGATGGATTGAATCAAACAAAAACTGAGGCAGCAACTGCTGATAGGGTTAAGATTTTGACTTGCTGTTCCTTTGTCCTGAATAGAAGAATCTTTTTTTTACAGTAAATTCACTGCTTGTATGCTGGTGCTACACACTTTCCACACTTATGACCTGAAGCAAACATGTAAAATGAGGGCAATGTCTATGCCAATTGAAACAGTAAGACTTCCAAGGGTCTGGAAACTCTGCTTGGGTCAGGATCCAGATGTGTACACAGTTTCTTGAAGGGAAATCCCAGTGTAACAGTGGTATATGTAGCAAACTTTTGCTATGTACAATTTGAAGGTGCACTTAATGATCAAATCAATAAAAACAAAGTCGCAATCTCTGATGGGAGGCATTCATCATTGCACAGATAAATTCAAAAGAATGGAAATTATCCAAAGATAGCTACTAAGACTGAAACATCCTATAAGTCCTTGAGAAAGTGAACAGATAAACAACCCTGAGACAGCATGCTGAATATATAAACCAAAACCAAATACACTGTTTGGGCTCCCCCCCCCCTCCCTTTCTAAGGTGCAAGTACTAACACTACAAGTATGCATCCCTAAATCCTCATTAAACCACAACCATATCAAGAACAGCCAGCATGGATGTTACTAATGTTAATAGCTCAAGCTGTGCTTCATTCCCTGGGAAGCAATATAAGGTCCCTACTTTTTCAACAAGGTTTTCAACATGAAAATACGTTTAGACTTGCATTATTGCCTATATTTTGATAGCAGAGCACTTTCCCAGCTTTATATCTACTCACTAACTCAAAGTTTGAGCTCTGGGCAAATATTTTATCCACACTGTAATTTGGTAGGTCCAAGTGGCCTAAGGAATCTTCATTTTGTGGCTACTGCAATGCTTTTTTTCCACTTTCCCTTTCTAAATTTTTGGGCCAAACTTCCATGTTGCTTATTAATGAAGCAAAGTCATTATGAAATTGCTTTATTTCAACCATTTCACTTGGGGAATGTTTCTTATAAATATGGCTGCACCAGTAATTACCATTTACCATTTAATTACCAGGCTTTGTGATGTGGTGAGCAGTAGCAATCCCAGTAGCAATCAGAACTGGGAAGAGTGTCTGTGTGTATGTGTGTGTGTGTGTGAGAGAGAGAGAGTGAGATAAACACTCACAAGATGAAACTGACAGAATTAATTGCATAAGGACTTAACTACTTACCAAAGGAGAATTCTATGATATATATCTGTCAATTTAACTTGACTGCAAGCCAAGTTTTTCATCTTAGCTGCAAGGCCAAGGTGTAAACACTCTTCCCCAGTAAAGTTTTCCATACCATATTTGGAAAGCCTACAAAGCATTCCCATTCCCTATATGCTTCTAGATAGCCTGAAGTGCCTGATCCTGTTTAATCTTGGAAGCTAAGCAGGGTCAGGTCTGGTGAGAATCTGGATGGGTGACTTGAGTGTATGATTCTATGATTACTGCTGTAAAGCACCCAGAGAGCTTTGACTGTGTGTGGTGGTGGTACTGATTCCCTATTTGTTTCTCCTCTTACGGTTCTCAACTGCACTAAAAAGAAATATGAAATATAAAATAGTAAGTATTTTCTGTAAAGCACCTGCCTTGCCTGTACTTCCTTTTCCATGAAAGGAAGAACATGAATTGCACTCCAAAAGCACCTCTTAGAAAACATGATTACATTTCCCAGAGATACAAACACACAGTATAGTTGCTTTTGAAAAATGTACTGCTGATGGCCAGGTATCACGGAGGAGCACCCTGTACAAGCAGTATAGATATAGCACGTCTCAGAAAAATGCTAATTAAAAGCAGACATGCAATCGACTTAGAGATTCATCTGAATAGGCACATGCAACCTTCATTGTGAGATATGATCCTTGGTGAATATAAGTAAAATCTGTGTACTCCCTTGACACACATAAGGTAAGGGCCTGGTTGAAGTTAAACCAGTCCTGCCCATTAACTGGAAAAGAAAATCAAAATGCCCATTAAAGTAAATGGAATTATTCCAGAGGATTGTGCCTTAGTGTAGCAAGCTCATGCATTACTGTGAATTGGATATCTAGTGAATGTGAATTTACTAGTAATTTAGTAAATAGTGATACAGAATTTTAGAAGACTTAATAATTAAGAAGAATATAGTCAACTCACAAATTATGTCTTGTTTTTTTTTTTCCAGATTTTAAAATCAGCTATCATGTCCATTCCATGGACAGATGCCAAACAGTGCCATTCCCATGTAAGTGTGTATAGGTATACTTATAAAAGCAATGTATTTGGAATCATAAGGTGATTGATAATAAAAAATTAACATAGATCCAATAAAATAGAAGTAATGTAGTAAAGGTAGGAATACGGATGGTACATGCATCTGCCTTTCACCCTTTTACATGCTTAGTGGAAGAAACATAAGTACTGTGACAACAAACACAACTGCTATGCAAAATATGAAGCAGCCTTAAAACAGATGGATAAAACACTTACAATTTTACTTAAAATGTTCAAACACATGCTTAATCTGGTTTCACTAAAATCTGGTTTTGATTAAACTATTGCAATTCTCTGTTTAGACAAACATTATACAGTGTAATAATGAATTCTCTCTAGGCAGATCCACAACTCTCACCCCCAGTGATGATCCACATGAGCTAAGAACAGTCTCAGGTCCACTGAAACATTTTGATGGCTTTGCTAAGAAAAAGCCATTCTGACTGACACTGACCATTCAAAGAAACATTAACAGTGATAGCAACCCTTGTCTCACTTGGGCTGTTTACACACTCAGTAGCAGACATACTCCTGCTAAACAACGGTAAAGCACTGGAAGGGTGAGCTTCAGATGAGAAAAGGGTGCTGAATTGTTATTGCTGCCCACTACTGTTTCTTCACAATCCACTACCCCAAAACCAGAAAGGACCGCAGCCAAGAGAAAAGCACCCTGGAGAAATCTTATTAACTATATACAAAATTAAGATTTCTACTGCAAAAAGCCATCTGAGCTGTCCTCCCTGCCCACTGCTTAAAATCATCTTTCCACCTCCATCACTTCCAAGGTATTCAGCAGAGATCCTGAGAGATATTCAGTAGAGAGTCCCCTGCCATAGCATCTAGTTTGGCCCTCACATTGTGACAATAACAATAATGACAATGGTGATTTTTTAAAAGTATCCTCCAGAGAGGTTTACAAGAATAAAAACATCAAGATGGATCCAGACTAAGCTAGTTATACTTCAATTTCATATAAATCAACTTGAGTATAACAACAACAACAACAACAACAACAACAATCTCTGCATTGTTCCATATTGGAAGAGACCCAAGATGATTTGTATGATCCTCAGAACAACCTATGAAGTATGTTAGCCTGCAACTGAGCAACAGGCCCCAAGTCACCCTATAAGCTTCATGGTCAAGTGGAGACTAGAACCCAGATCTTCCCAATCCACCACCCAAACCACCGTACCACACTGGCTCTCAATTAGTCGCGAATAACTTAGCACACTGATTTTAATGAAATAAAGACCTGACTAACTTTGTCTGGATCAAATCCAATACAAAACCAGAAGCATGAAAAACATTGAAACCAGAGAAGTAGAAAGCAGCTTTAATTGAGAAGCAGTCAGAATATTCCAAAGGCTTATTGGGAAAAGATGGCCTTGTCCTGCCATCTAAAGGCCATCAAGGGAAGCAGCAAGCAGGACTTTTAAAAAATCATTAATATATTTGGAGTTGGTTTTGTTTTTTAAGTATCAGTTGCATCTTCATCTAAAATTGATCACAGAATGCTATGCAGGAAAATATTTATTATAGCATAGAGTGTTAGAAATATAAAATGTATTTTCAGTTTAAGATGGAGTTAAATATAACATTTAAAAAGAAATTTTATATTTTCCACCTGCAGACTGTGCTCCTGGCTTTGCAGTTTGCATGGCAGACATACATTCTAACCAGCTGTCGGGACTGTCCTTTTTCCATAATTCAGAGAGGAAGACTTTTTACTTTCTTTAAAAAAGCAGCATGTAAATTTACCAGTATATATGTCCATCCTTTTTGTTATTAAAGTTGAGACATTATTAAAAGAGATGTAAAAATGTTCTAGATCAGGGGTCTCAAACTCGCGGCCCGCAGGCCCCTTGCCGGGCCGGGTGGGGCACGGGGGAGGGGCCCTGCGGCCTTCAAAGCGCCAGCGGCGCCCAGGCCGGCCTCTGGGAGCGACGCGGGATGAGTGGCCCACCACCACCGCTTGATGCAGCCCAGCCTCACCCAGACTCTACTTCCAGCAGCCCCCAGGTAAGTTGAGTTTGAGACCCCTGTTCTAGATGATGGAGGGTGCAAAATATGTTGGTGACATCATAGTCAAATTAGCACAGCACACAGGCATGCTTTTTACTGGGAACCTGCAGCACTGTGAGTAGCTGTATTTTTTAAAAAACCTGCAGAGTTTAGTCCTGGATAGCAAAAGGGACATCTGGATTAAATAGAGTGAGGGTGCTTCTAAGTTGACATCTTTAGCTATGTCTTCCAGCACCCATAGGTCTTGAGAAGTGGTAGGAAAATTGTAAAGAAGGGGTCCCCTTGGAAGGAAGAAGTGATCTCTTCTGGTTCACTAAAAATTAAGTCCAAATCATGGCAGGTGAGCAACTGAGATAAATATACAAGTCAAATAGCTAAGTATCTATGTGCATGTGCTTTCTTAAAATGGTGATGTTATCAAGGGCTAATATGGAGGTGTCTATGGTTGATTCCATGAAGTCTAGAAAATAGGGGCAATATTACAAAGGGATTGTTGGTTTCCCTTTCCAGAGCATCCTCACCCACTATTTCTTTTACACAGCTTTTATGATGTGTGGTGAAGTGCACAGTATTGATAAACATTATACTCTTACCTCTTCATAGTCTTCACTGGCCAGCCTTTAAGGAAGCCAGTTATTTCTCAACCCTAGCTGCCCCCTCTGCAATACATGGGTAATTTGAGACAATGCAAGTTATGCTTTGTGGGGGAAGGTTCTGTATGTCCCTGCTACATATATATTACGACTGTAGTTGTTGTGTCAACAAATTAGTCCCAGGGGTTATTGTAGGATGGTTCCCATGACAACTAACAGGTGCAAGGACAACTATTTTTATGCAACCAGGAAAGAGGGAAATTTGTATGTTTTTCCTCAGTGATCAACCTAATTTTTCCTGGAAGCAAGCATGGGCAGATACTTTACTGCAAAAGGGGTTTTCTAAGTCAGACTTTTATTTTTAAGCAGAACATTTATTTTAAATTATGCAAGTACCTAAGTCATAGTCATTTTTACTCGGATTCTGGTTCTTTGTTTTTAGTGCCCTCATTTAAACCAATAACAATAACTCTTAATTAAACCCAAATGGACTTGCCTTTTTTTCACTGCTTCCTGTGGTACAATTGCCTTGGACAATATTTCCTTGTATATAGGAGACTTTAAATAGCGACCATAAGAATCCTACTGGGGAGAAGAAAGAGAAACCAGTAGTTATAGATTACAAGCATCCTAATTAAAATCATCTCTCCTTACAGCTGTTTAGGAGTCAAAGAGGCTGGGAATGAGGGTGGGGGCAGAGGATAATCTCACCCCCACATTAAATATGCATTATGAAAACCACTAGTTAAATTAATGTCCCTGGAGTTAAAGCTGGGGACTATTAAGTCTTCTTCTCAGTTGCCAAACCATTCAACAAGGGTTAAGCATATCATTGGTATCTGTCCTCCATTTCTCAAGTACATTGTTTTAAGACCTTATGAGTGCAAATCAGAAGTGGAAAATGTTTTATTGAAGTTTCTGTGCTATGAATATTTGAGGACTATGGCTTAATATATCAGCCCAAGTCATGCAGGGCATCTTTCCCGTGTGTGGTCTACTGTAGACAGAATGGCACAGACAGACTGAGGATGGGAGAGAGAGGGTAGTCTTGACCTTGGGCATGGATGTTCCATTGGCCTAGATGATGCCTTCATCTGCATGGACCTATGATTTTTTTCCTGTGAATAAGTTTTATTCTTAATATACCTAACAAAAAGAAACTAAAAAGCATCAGTCATCAAAAACATCAGACCTACTGGGTCAGCCCCCCACATTTTTTCTTTTTATATTAAACTATAAACATGTTTAAGTCTATGCATAGTCCCGTTCCTCTAGCCAATAATAAAAAGAATCCCAGGTTTGATAGAAGTCTGTATCTTCTTTCTCCCTCAGTGACAAAGTCAGTCTATCCATTTCCACACAGTCCAAGATCTTTTTTAGAATCAGTTCATCGGAAGGTGGTTCTTCACTCTTCCAGTGTTGGGCAAATGCAATCCTCGCCGCAGCAGTTACATGTAGAGTCAAATACATTGCTTGTTTACTAAGATCATCAGGTGCAATGCCTAATAAGAAAACTTCAGGTTTAAATGTTAAAGGTTTTTGTAACATTTCCTCAAGCTATTTGTGTATTTTAATCCAATACTTTTTTGCTTTATCACAAATCCATCTCATATGATAAAAAGTACCTGATTTGTATTTACATTTCCAACATCCATTTGACATATCTGGAAACATCTTAGCTAACCTATTTGGAGACAAATACCATCTATAAAACGTTTTATACAAATTTTCTTTATATGAAGTTGCTAATGTTACTTTAATATTTCTTTCCCACAGTTTTTGCCATTTCTCTAACTCAATATTATATCCAAAATTTTGTGCCCACGTTATCATAGTTTCCTTAACCTGTTCATCTTCCATTCTCCTCTCCAGTGGGGAATTGTACTATCTTTTAATCATTTTCTCATCAGATTGAAGAATCACGTGATCAAATGCTGTTGACTCCTTATAAAAGCCCCACATTCTATGATCTTTGGCATATCTCGATTGCATTTGAACCTTGTGCCACCAAGAAATATTAATTCCTTGTTCTTGTATTTGATTCAATTTTAATCCTCCATCATTATCCAAAATATCATCATATCTCACGATCGTATCAAAGTTCAATGCATTTGGATATCCGAGAGCTTCCATAGGCGAAACCCATCTTGGTAATTTAGTATACAGTTTTGTCTTTAACTTTTCCCACACTGACATTAGTGATTTCCTAATATAATGATTTGAGAAACAACCATGTACCTTACACTTGTCATACCACATATAAGCTTGCCAACCCATTTGCAAGTCACGCCCTTCAAGATACAAGATTCTCTTCTTTCTTAAAGTTATCCATTCTTTTAGCCACATTAAAACCGAGGCTTGGTAATACAACTTCCAATCAGGAAGACCAAAACCCCCATTCCCTTTAGCCTCCTGGAGCATTTTTAATTTAATCCTTGGTTTCTTCTTTTTCCATATAAATCTCAAAATTTGAGTGTTTAAATCATCAAAAAACATTTTATCAATTTTTATGGGAATCATTTGGAATAAAAACAAAAGCTTTGGTAATATATTCATTTTAACTAGTGCTGTTCTTCCCAACAAGGATAACTGCAGATTTGCCCATTTTTCCAAGGCACACTTAATTTCCTTAGATAGTTTGTCATAATTATCTTCTTTCAATGTAGTACACTTAGCTGTAAGAAGAATTCCCAAGTATTTAACCTTTTTAACAATTTGAAGATCTACTTGTTCTACCAGGGTTTTTCTCTGCTCCAACATAAGGTTTTTTACTAACAATTTCTTCTTGTCTCTGTTTATTTTCATCCCAGTAACCTCGCCATATTTTTCAATCCTTTGTAGGAGTTTAGGCATTGTTACCAAGGGTTCCTCAGTTATAAAAACTAAGTCGTCTGCGAATGCTTGCAATTTATAGCTTTCATCTCTGATTCTAGTGCCCTTAATATCCATATCATCTCTAATATTTCTATTTAACACTTCTAGAATCAATATAAACAACAGTGGTGATAAAGGACATCCTTGTCTTGTGCCCTTTTGTATGTCTATAATGTTTGTAAATTCTCCATTAATTAGAATTATGGACCTATGATTTTTGTATTCACACAAAAAACTTTTTCTTTACTTGGGCCATTGCTTCTGCTGCTATTTGTCTTAGATTAGACATACAGGCAAAGAGAGAGACCTTCTTGTAAAAAATGGGGAATGTAGAATCCTTATGACATAATCAATAAGGAATAGTCAGAGAAATCAAGAACTCTAGTTCTATCTAATTTTGGGTTCAAATGGGAACAATGAAGGCCAGTAGACATTGCCCAGATTTTCAAAAGTACCGTCACTGCAAACATGAAAGGTCCTTGATTCTTAATGCTTACAAAAGCATCTTCTTGTGCAGAAAGAATGCATCATTCTTTTCTCAACAAAGAATATACTCTTAGTATTTTGGTATGGGCACAACGAAGCATCAGCCAACCCCACTTGAGCTGTCCCAAAATATGGGTTTCTTTCATATGTTTTCATCTATCACACCTTGAAATAGGTCATTGATTCAATAGGGTGGATTTGGATTATACTTTTTCTTTCAAACAGGTTGTATGAGAGTTATGCTGAAGCCATTTGAAAAGACAACTAGATGTATATGCAACGATCACAAACCTTTTTCATAAGCATGTATATATGAGTCTGTGCAGCATCTAAGACATAGCGATGAGGGTGTTTGAGGCCTCTGACTGTAATGCCCATAGTAGTGCCATCAATATTGATCCAGCGCCTTGCTCCTGGTGCCAGGAAAGTTCTGAAATTAAAAATAATGAAGAAGAGAATTGTGTAGTATAGTAGGAGAGAAATTCAGAGATTTTCTTCATATAACAAGGCAGATCTAAATGTTCTGCTTCAATCAAGAGAATGTGTTTTCTGCTCTTTGATACAAACTGATATTGTAAAGGTCCCCATATGTCAAATCCTGCACCTACAGCTAATGATGTTCAGCACTATTGTAACTGTGGAGACCAACACCACACCATTAAGAATCTTTTAAGTGACTTTAACTGACATTTGAGAATATTCTAAAGCCTCCTGAATGAAAAGGTCTTGGAACATGTGTCTATTTAAATCTTCAATGTTAGGCAGTGGGGGAGGCAAAATTCTGAATAAGATTCCAGCACTACCAGATTTCACAGAACTTATTTCCACATAAGCATGCCTACCATCACATACTTAGAATAGGTTTCCATGACCATTCTTCCCTCTTTAATGTAGCTTTTTGTTAATATATTGTGGGTGCGATCGAATTGCTACTGGATCATGCAAGGGATTATCCAACCTGAATTTTCATGAAGGGCCAATGCTTTAAAATCCTCTCCAACACAGCAAAAGAAAATTGTCACTCAAACTATTAAAATATAACTATAAAATATAGTTTTATATTTATAAATATAAATATAATATAAATATTATATTATAATTTATATAAAAACTAGAAAATATAACTATATAATTGTAACAATAAACAAAGCAAGTTAGGAAAAGACTTTTGTAGCACCATATTTCACTCACTTGTAAATTTCTTCTGCCTTTTCTTTCACTTTGGATTGATCTCCATATTTCAGATCTTCACATGCTTCCCAAAACCCCAGATTTTCCCCTTAGTCAAAAGGGTAAAAGAAATAGCATAGTATGTTATAGATTCATGTGTATAAATATTGTAAATGCAATGGATATGAAGTCCTTAAATAATTTTCTGTAAGGAGAAAACCATTTCAATAAGCAGCAGAACCCTTTCTGTGATTAATATTGCTATTTTGTGTCCTGAAACACTTGATGGCTTCCTAGCTATGAAGTCCATGAGCCGAACCTATGTGACAGCTTTGTTTGCTTTGCAGGTGTGCCCCATGACCTCAGATCACCTCACCTTGTAAAGAGAGGGAATATTTTTCTGTGCAAATAAAATTCATCTCAGCTAGCCAAGTGTAACATCATTATCCTACTACACTGAAAAGGAGAGACAGAAAAGTGGGAAAGCCAGCTCAATTTCACACCTACCACTAAATTCTTTCTTCAGGAACAGCTGAAAGCTCTGCCGGCCTTTCGGATCCCTCATCAGTTCACTAAAATTGAAAGCCCATCTCTCCACACGTGTTTTGGTGGGGATATCCACCCTGCAAAAAATTTAATTGCAGATAAATCACTGAAAGAGATCCCTCTGCCCCACTTTCCAATATGCCATTATATGCTCTTGAGTGATTGTTTAGTGGTCTAAACAGTTACTTAATTACTGTTTCATACAACAAGATCATTATACCCAAATGATCTTCTTTGACTGACAATTTAGTTGTTCCACCAAGCTGGTGCTATCTTCATTGTCAGAGAACAAAGCATGAATCCAAATTACATTTTGAAGAATGCACTTCCATTCAATGCTCTGTCAGCTCTTACACCACACACATATGAGGCTAAAAGTGACTCTTTTTAAATTGGGCTTGTAATGTGACTGTAAAACCTACTGACCAGATTGTTCCATCACATTACACATTTCTCTCTTCTGCTTTCCATAGAAAATTATGCCTGCCACATCTGTATATATTTAGCAACAACAAAAGGAAAAATTTACCAATATGATATTGCAAAGTTCCACCCAGATATGGTGTTTGTCACTCCTTTAAAACAGAGGAGTGTTGAACTTCAGACCAGTAGGCCAAATCTGCCCTGCCTGGGGTCCTCTGAGGTTTCCCAGAGGGTCATGCCCTCTTGCTCTGGTTCCTCTGCCTTTTCTCCAACCAATCATTTGGTGGCTTCTTAGCTTTTGTACAGTTTTTCCCAATCCTAAAAGGCTGAAGTGCTCAGTTATTGGCAGTAAGAACTTCAAGCAGAAATACCCTGTCCTTTTTATATTCAGCCCCACCCACCACTGTAATCTGGCTCCTGGCAGTTTCTCCAAAATTAAATTCAGGCTTTGGGCTGAAAGAGGTTCAACACCTCTGCTTTAAAAGCCTTGAGAGATCAAAAAGGATACTGCTACTTTACCTACTGGTCTATCAGTCCTTTTGCTCTCTCTGCTCTAAAATTTCACTTACTAAAGTGGAAAGAAAAGGAGAATAAAATAAATGGAGCAGGAGGGCAAGAAGCAGAGCACCAGCATCCTCTCCCTCTCTGGCTTGTATCCTTTAAAGGGATAGACACCATCTCCAGATGAAGAAACAGCAACCCTACTCACCAAACTGATTAAGCAGGAAAGAAGAACAGCAAGAAAATAGAAGTCCGTGAAAATATAAAAGTTGCTCTGAGGTTTTAAAAAAAAGGAGTACAAATCAGGTAGCCTCAGTGCAAGTCAGAAAATGAAATACGTACAGCTTTGCATTGAGCTCCCAAAAATCAAGATCATCCGTAAGCCAGGGGTTACCGGGGAGGCATCCTGAAATTATGGGGTCATTGGAGCGGAATTGTTCACTGTACTTCACTATTCTGAAAATATTGGACATGAAAACAGGTTGATCATCTGTGGGCAATATCTTAAACAAAACAATGGAAAAGGAACAAAGGTGACTATTAATATAGATCTTGGGCGACTTTACAACATGGAACAACATTTCAGTGTTAATGTGATGCAAATTGTAACACCACCTCACCAAGAAGTCATTTTGTAAACACTATTTCACAAAATAGGTATAACTCCTTGAGAAAGTCAGTTTCAAGCATGACTAAGATGCTCTAGAATATTGTATGACTATAGGAAAATCCAGGCTAAACTATGCATTCTGCGTATCACATGGCATAGCCCTTCCTGGACTTTACCATGTTAAGTGTGGGACCACATGTATGAATGCATACCACATCAAGGATAATCTGTCCATGGACAGCTGGTCTGGCAGGGAGCTGTGCTAGTTTTCTGTTTTCCCTCCCAAGGGGCAATAATTCAAGCATGAGATGTCCCACATGCAGTCAGAAGTGCTAGCACCTCCGAAGAGACACACCAGATGCTGTTCCTAAACAATCAGTTGACTAATCAAATAATCACCTGCTGGAAATTGGACTTCTATCTCTTGGCAGAAGCTCAATCTGGTAAATATCCAATTCCTTGTTATCTTTCACACAAACTCAGGAACTTGGCTAAGAACCTAAGGTCTTCTTGCTCCAGTGGAGGCACGCACCTGGGCTTTTTGATAATCACCTCTGGCAGTTCCTTCCACCACAGCTTGTTCATGCATGTCAACAAGCAGGGAACAGCTTCATTTTCTTTTGAAACTGCACAGAACTCCTGCCTCTAAATCAATCTTCCCCAACCTAATGTACTCCAGATATATTTAACTGCAGCTCCCATAATCCCCAACCAGCATGGCCAATTAAGGTTGATGGGGATTCTAGTTCAATATTTCTGGAGGGCACTTAGATAAGCAAATGTCCTGTAGATCAGCTTTCCCCAACCTGGCAGCCTTCAGAGGCATTGGGATTGCAACTCCCAGGATTCCCATCCAGCAGGGGTATTGAGTAGGAATTCTGGGTGCTGCTGTCCAAACATATCTGTAAGGCACCAGTTTGGGGAAGGTTGCTTCTGCTGAAGAAGATTCCTTGCCAGTACATATCCCTTAAGCATACAGTCTTGGGATTTCAAAATTAGCTCATGATGTTCTTTGGGTAAAAGTAATATCAAGAACTGTAAATCTGGGAAAACCAATTTGCTGAGAATCTATATGTAAAGGAATTTTTTTAAAGAAAGCAGTTACACAAATTTACGGAATGTGATAATTTGTTCTGAGGACTATCTGTGAAAACAATAATAGGTGGTACAACATTTCAAATATTTTCAAATGCTGTTCCCAGAACCACTATCAAGAAAAATATAAGAATAATATATTCTTCTTAGTAAGAATAATATATTCTAAATAGTAAGAATAATAACTAAAGAACTAAAAAATGATGGAATTAAATATAGGTGAAATTTTCTTGCTTAGTTCAGGCTCTTGGATCATATAACACAAAAGAAACTACTAATGAGGGAACTTACCCTGAGTGTATTATTTACTAGAAGAACAATGAATTTGATCATGTGAGCTTGGGCAAGAGTCTTCCTTTAATCTTGTTCTATGCATATGAACTTGGCCTATGTGCAACATCAAGGTGTACCTTGAGAGCTGCAGCTTGGAATCACATAGTGCTGCATGACATCAGTCCTTCTGAATGATTGATCTCATGTGGTCCACCAGTACAATGCTGTCACATCTTGTTACTTGTCCTCACCAATAGTCAAAATGAAGATGGACAGACAGGGCGTGTTCACATGATACAACTGTGAGGCAGCTGCGACAGTCTACCCTTTTTGGTTTGTCATGTCACAAAAACCTCACTGTGCTATTTCAGCATGGAATGTTTCATTTTGAGAAACCACAGACAGAAACAATGGTCTGTTCTAGGATTTTTCAGTACTGCTATTGTGTGTTGTGTTATCTGAACTGGAGAACACAGCTCATCATGGTACTGAGGCCAGAACCATAAGGCCATTTGACAAGAGCACCCCATTGCTGCATTTGCCAGACTGCTAACCAGAGAGAACAGCTGCCAGTTGGCATGCCTGCCAGATGTCCCCGTTCCTCCTGTCTCCTGCCCTACACTTCTTCTTTGGGACAGCAGTGGGCAATCAGCTGGCTGGCGCTGGGAGAAGAGAGTGCCTCTCCATTGAATCACCGGCACCACTCCCATACAAGCAGAAGCAGTGAGAATGCACCGGGTGGTGGATCCCCCCCAAGCTGGGGGCGGCTCACTGCAGCGGATTCCTCCATACTGCCCCTCGCACAAGAACAGCAGGGTGAGAAGCAGCTGGGTGGCGGCAGTGCCGAGTCGGGGGCTGAAGAGCAGAGCGCATCTCCAGTGCCACCCCTCTTGTTTGCCAGAGCAACCATCCCCCCAGCACATCTCACAAGCCAGTGGCAGGGGCAAGAATCCAGTGGGCAGTGCTGTGCAAAGCAGCAACCTACAGCAGGAAGGGGGGACCAGTGCCACCTTGCCTCAGCTCTCCTCCTCGCTACTTTTTACCCCTGCCACTGGCTTGCAAGCAGCAGCATGAGGGGTGTCCCTTTGGCACACACAAGGGAGCAGAAGAGGAATTGAGTGGTGCTGTTCCTTTCTCCCTCTTTTGCCTCAAGCAGGAGGGGAGGGTGCCTAAGCAACTTCTGTCACGTCCCGGTTGCTCTAAAAATGGACTATTGTTCCCTGTCTAAAATAGCTACTATTCAAATAGCTATTCCTTTCATTGGGTTGTCGAAATAAGGGAATATTAGTGTTGGGAATAATATTGGTAAGGATTCAGATGGGCTAGCCATTTATGGAAAGGTTAAACATCTTGGATAAATTGCTTATTAACTTGTGCAAAGTTTTTTTTTTAATCCTTCTCCCCATAAATGGGCAAATATGCCTATGCTGAAAATTTCTGTCTAGCTTTAATTGAAATTGGGACTTTCTGCATGTAAAGCATGTCTTCTGTGTCTAGGCTATGGCTAACTCCGTGCAGTAACAACACAGAAGCCATTTATTTGGGGAAATGCATAAATGTATTGCCACAATTGCAGGCTCTGGGCCATGTGCAGCCCTTCAGGAAGGAAGGGTCTCTCCACTGAACTGCCCATGACTTGCTACTCTGCAATGGTCTGTACAATGCCTCCAATTTCACTGACATCAGCAGCACTGCTGACGGGATTGTTCCTGGGGCCTATTAACAAGCTTCAGGGGGACAGTTTAGCAGCCACGTTCTCTGTGCTCAGCCCTGTGAGCACAGCTACTGGAGTGCCACCTAGAATATGTTGTTGCTGCTGTGTTCAGATATCTGGCAACAGTCTGACTACTAGACTATCATATTCTGGGGCTTTTTATAGGCCTAAAGGAGGACCCCAGCAGGGTGTGTGTGGGTTTGTAGGAAGTGCGGCTTCGTAAGTGTCTGTAAAACTTCCGGCCCCATCTATTTACAGCTCCGCCCTTCACTTTGATTCCCAAAGGACTTACCAGCCACCAGTGCAGCCCTCCATCGAAACATGCTGCTCAACCCTGTGATAGAACAATCACATCCCTTGCCAGCCTATCTGGGCTTAAAAAGCCATGTCTCCAGGTCATAAGTAGTAAGCTCAAGACAGGCATTAGTCATGACATTTTTATTTTAAAACAAATCCCCAGCTAAAAGTATCTTTTGGGGAAAAATGCATGATTGCTAATCAATCGAAGGGAATAACAGCCAACAGTGAGGGCAGATGGGAATAGTAGGCCAAGTCATCTGGAGGGCATCTGAAGTCATTTGGCATAAACAATATGAGAACTTACGCTCCCAAGGAGACAGATGACTTTACTGTAGTCTTCATGATGGCTTGCTGGTAGTACATGATCTGCGAAGGCACACAGTTTTCATTATGTTAGCAGAAAAACAAGCACTTTAATGAAAATTTCCCCTATTAAAAAGGAATATTCTTCCATAATATTAACGCACCACGGGAAGATGCCTAGGCTAGTACTCAGAAGACACCTTCTTGCAGGGTAAGTTAAGAGGGTGTGCAGTTTCTCAGCTGAAAGTGTGAGAAATAACATAAATTACTGCAGCTTCCCTGAACACGTCCTGCAACACAAAATGCTCCACCTGTTCTGTTCCTACAAGCACCTCCATCTACAGCAGAAGTGGTCAGCTTGTGGCCTTCAAGATGTTTTGACCTAAAGACTTGTAGTGTGTAGGTGCAAACATGCTGGAGGCCATAAGAGGGGAATAATGGGAGTTGCAGGCCAAACATCTAGAGGGCTACAAGTTGCCCACCCTTGACTGATGACATGGAAAAGCAGGGTCAGCATGGGATAGAATCATACATGTGCATGAACTGCAGGGACTGGAAATTAAGTGGCATGTAAGTGACTCAGTGCAATGCACCCATTGTGGTATCGGGTTGGTAATTCCAGCTGAGAAAGGAAGGCAAAGAGCTGCTCCTACTCTCAAATAAAATGAAGTAGCCATTCATTAGCTACCAAATCATACATGACTAAATAACAGAATTAAGTATATATTCTGCCATGTCAGTGAAAGCAGGAGGTAAGTTGGGGAGCATGAGGGTGGGGGAATTGGGCTTTTCTGCCTTAGGCTTGGGATGTATGAATTTTGTTTCATGGATTGTCAAGGCATCTTTCATTCTGTTGTCTGCTCATTCATATAATTGGATTTTTTAAAGGAACATATGAGAAATTTGTTTCATCTGTGTTCATCCACATTAGCTCAGCTGCAAATTTGCACAAATCTGCTCAAAGTTTAAAAAAAAAACCCTGCATGCAAGTCTGAGTGATTCTGAAACTGCCAGTCCACTGAAGAATATGCAGATGAGAGAAATAGGAATTTAAACTCATTTGAATCCTACTTTAGGAACCAGACATCTTGAGCTACTATTTTAAAAGCTGAAGCCAAGCCAAGGATGAATGGGAGTGAACCCTGATGGTAAATTCTCCGAGAATCTTTACCTGCCTAGGTGTACTTAAAGGCTATACAGTGATCTCAGCCTGAGAATGAAAATCCAATTGATTTAATTTTATTCATATGTTTTAAAAAAGAAAATCACCCAGACATAGCCTTGAACATGGCAAGCATGTGTGGTGCCCCCAAGCAGTCTGCAGACTATTTCAATAGACTTTTATATAGTGCATCTAAAAGATGGATGCTTTTATTAGGGCTTGATGGTTATCAGTATTAATAAAAACACTCACTGATTAGTATTTATTACTGAAGTGAAAAAGAAATTACCTCTCTCCTGTAAACATCCATTGTCTTTTTCTGTGAAACAAAGGAACATAATAGCAAAATAAAAATGAAAATATGTTTGTGTCTTCAAAACTGCATTGGAACAGAGGGCTTATCCTCTTTTAACAATTATAAACTAATTTCAGATTAACATCTACCCACACATCTAAAAAAACCAACTGATGGTGATGTGTTTCCACCCATAATATGATTTTGTTCAGCTTTATTTAGCAGATAGCATTGTCTGCTCCTTTTCAGCCTATGTATGTGTGTGAATTTAATTACAGGGTTATTCTAATGTAGCTAATATAGATTCATTTAGGAGACAGAGATTAGATCATTCAGTATTAGTTAAAGGCGACAGGAACTGACACATTGCAAAACATAAACATTCCAATTAAAAGCCTCAGAAACAATATCTGCTGTGCTATGCTGTGATGTAAATAACTCAGATGATGTTACGTGTCACCCACCAGCCAGCAAGCAACTGAAAACTAGAAATTAACTGTAGGCTGTTTGTTCCTATTCCCTTTGAAGTCTCATGCCATGACTTTGTTTGGAATAAGCTGATGGAAACAGAGGGAAGGTACAGCAAGCAGAGGCAGAAGCTACTAAATTTTGTGGATGCCCTTTTGCTTCTATGATTCTCATTCAATCACCCACCAGTTCATCTAGTGCAAATCTGCCAAATGTGAGGGGCTAATTATTACATGCAAATATGCAGTGATTTTCTTTACTTTTTTAAAAAGCAAGTACATGAGGCATGCAGGATGGGGGTACTTTGAGTGGAAAAACACTGAGAGGGAAGAAGCTTCTGTATAACCTGTTTCTTGTAAGCCATCTTTCCTCAAGTACTGCACTTCGTACAAGATCCTAAATGCATACTTGCATTTTATGACAGGTATTTTCCTCCTCAGAAAATAACAGCCAAAATGGAAGAAGCTGAGCATTCTTCCTCTTTCCCAAAGCTGCTTTTCCTTTTAAAGAACAGCACTGAAGTAAGGCTAGGTGCACAAGCAGGTTAACATTCTGACTATGAGCTCTGTAATGGGATGGCAGCATAATGCAGCTTGCTAGTTGCTTTTCCAGAGCTGACCTGTGAATTAGGGCACTGCTTCAGAGGTGAGCAGAATAATTTCCCCCTAATTAAGCACATTACTTTATCCCAGAGAATATCAGATGTTCACTGATAGCCAAGGCAATAGAGATACATAGTGGGATTTCCCTGTGGTGGTCCCTATACCTCTGTGTGTGTGTGTACGCGCACACGCATGCGCATACAGCAAGCCATTGACTCTAAAACAGACATTGTTAGGATACTTCATGCTCCCATCAGAGAACCCACAAACATACTCAGTCCACCAGAATTCCCAACAATCAGCTAAATTACAATATTTAACTGTGAGTAGCTAATCCACTGAATGTAAACGTTTACCAGTATAAAATCCAAAAGTCTGCTGGATTAGACTAGATCCATCCCTCATCCCCATTAAGCTCTATTTTCTCAGGATGATGTTTCTTAAGTATACAGTTGTATAAGGAGAGCAGTGATAATACGTATAAAGAATGTGACTCATATGGAAGTTATAGTTAGTCTTCTACAGAACAATCAAACAAGCACTTCACAGACAGGAAGGCCTTACATACATCGGAGAAAAATAGACTGGAGAGAAAGAGAAAAGAAAAGATAAGAAGGAAATGATTAATCAACTGTTTCAGAGAGCAAAAAAGCTCTTAATGAAGTGGGTGTTATGTTTTCTATTTTAAACTGAATAGTTTCATCCATCTATTCATTTTCCATCATGTTGTTATATGTCATGCATTCTCCATTTACCATTTATTGTCTAAATGAAACATACTTTGGATTGTTTCCATCTCATAATTGATTAGGGAGGGATTCAACTGTACATACATACCCAAGAATTCAGTTGAGGACAGTAGCAAATCTCTCAAAGAAGCTGAATTAACTTGGGAATTACACAAGCTATTTGTAGCTTTTTCACCTATCCATGTCATATCTCATACAAATGTCTCTGCAAATTCAACAATGTACTCATTTCACATTGATCACAGAATTTATGCCTTGAAAGTGGATTAACAACATAGACTGTAGCACTTGCATTTAGAAGACTCTATATGAAAGTGCCCCTGGCATTAACTATTTTTAAACAGTATATTCACTGAAAGCAAAACACAGAATACTCCAAAACTAAAACAGAAATACTCATAAATACCAAGAAGAACAATATGAAATACATAAAACCACCCTGTATAATGGCCTCCCTATTTCAAATTTGGACCATAAATTAGCAATATGAAAAGAGGACTTCTTTAGGGGGCTAGTAACAAAAATATATTATTTGCAATTGGAGATGTAGACCTGTGGTATTGACCTTCCCTGGATAAAGCCTCTCAAGCTACAGTGATACTCAAATGCATCTATAACTCCACTCCTGAGGAAGTGTATCTGTAGCTGAGATTAAAATCAACCTCGGATAAGTAATCCCCACCACTTTTTGTGGAAACAAAATGCCTCCACATTTAAAGGAAATGTGCCCAAAAAGCATCAACACATTTCACCTATCTAATCCTCCTTTGCTGACATGCAACTGCAGTGGGCTTTCCCACGGGATGGTCTTTTTATGCACTCCTGCTAAAACTGCTGTGTGTGAGTCAAATGATCCTTTCTTGCCAGGGGATCTCCTGTGGAGAATTCAGACTTCCCCCTTGGCTTTACTTTGTCAATTGCTGAGGAACTGCATTTTCCCAGCATTCAAGTCACTATTTGCTGTTGCTGAGGGAAACCCAATTGACCCAGCTACTAATCCCATCATCCACTCTGCCCCCCATCTCAGCAGAGGGAGGGTGAAAGAGCCAGTTTTTCCCTGCAACCCCTGCATCCCAGCAACTAATGGTACTTTGGTACTAATTCTTTAAAAAGCTATTGCCCCCACTGCTGCTTCTCATAATTAACTAGAAAGAAAATGAGAGAGAGAGAGAGAGAGAGAGAGCGAGAGAGCGAGAGAGCGAGAGCGAGCGAGCACTCTCTAATGCACTTCCAGTGTTCAACCTATATGTGTTCCCAACTGGAAGAGATTTTTCTGAGGCCTGAGAAAAATGAGTGCTCACCTACCGCAGGAATAAAAGATTTTCAAAAGACAGAAAAGTCTTATCAGGCAATAGAGGAGAAAGGATTGCATACAGCATGTTTTTAAAGCGTTGGAGCTTTGTGTGTGAATAAGTCCAGTGTCAGGAGCTTTCCAACACTGGTACACAAAAGTCTAAAGCTGTGCTCTGCACAGGGCTGTAAATATGTCAGCAACATAGCTTGGCTCAATCTTTTCTTGTTTCTTTTAGTTTACGTTTGGCTCCTCAGGGCTCCTTGTTCTCCTTTCAAACTGGCATGTCATCAGCCACTTCTTAAAGGTAAAAGTTAAATCCTGGACCCTAATATTTAGCTCTCCCCTTCAGTCTCCATGGCAACCAAACCCACTTGGCCAAAGCAATTACCTGGCTCTGACAGCTGAAAGGGCTGAAAAGCCTCACACAAATGAAAAGTTTATTAGCCTAGTGAAGGGCCTGATGAAAACAATTGCCGTGAGGAAGGCTTTGCCTTCATGCATGCCAAGCAACAAGCACGCCTCACCTTCAGCAGGGGGCCGACTGGCCTATAAATATCAGATCACTTCAGCTGCCTGGCTTGCATGTATATTATGACTAGAATGTATGTTCAGACCTCTTTTTCATTCTAAGGCTATTTCTACCACTGAAAATAAATTTGAGCTCAAAAGGATCTAATTCAAACTGCAGTACTGAACTTTGGTCTGGACTAGACTGTTGCAAATTGGGGCTTCAGTATCTTTAAAATCTGTTCTGCTCTCAACTTCTCCTGGTGAGCTTTTTATGATATACTTATTTATATATTGATATCCCACTTTTTTTCATTCAAGGCAGCTTACATCATTCTCCAGCTCACCATCTTATCCCCAAATCAACAACCCTGTGAGGTAGGCTGAGTTGAAGTCTGTGACCAGCCCAAAGTCACCCAGTGAGCTCCAGGGCTGAAGGGGGACTAGAGCCCAGATCCACTGAATCCCAGTCCTGAACTCTTAACCACCTCACCACACTTGCCCTCTGAAATTGAATACTTCTCCCAAAAATAATAATTAGAAAACCTGCCACACAGGAAAAACCAACACACCAGGGAGAGAATTGTACTGAAATCCTTCTCCGTGACATTTCTATGCCAGTTTTTATGCATAGGAAAGCTTTGGTTGGTTGGTTGGTTTTTTGTTCTCTCTCTCTCTCCCCATGTATGGGAACATTCAGTAATGCAAACTCCAGCTGCAGCACCAGAATCAAAATATTGAGATCCATAATAGCATTATGGCTGCAGAAGATGCAATTCTGATTATGACGATAGTAATGAAAATTGCCTCCTCTGCTTCACAAGCAGATACCACAAGCTGCTATTAGCCCTGATGGGCGAAAGTCCTGTACATGTAACCTTACTCTAAAGGCAAAAATATCTGCTTTTTTTTTTTTTTTTGGCGGGGGGGTGGGGAGATGACATTTACTGGGACAATGAAACCAGAAGGGAAAGAGTTAAGTCTAACACTACAGACTAATTCTGGAACACATTGCTTTCCCTGCAGTAACTATTTGTCAATGCTTAAAACCAATCATACATCTGCTGAATTTTGTCTAATTTGGCCTAAAAGTGAAACAGCTGAGATACTGATTGCCTGCTTCATTGAAAAAAGGCCAAAATGACCACCAGTAAAATAAATAAAAGTTCTGTGCAGTATCTAAAGGCAAACTTAAATTATGCTATGCCAGTGTAAACATCTCTAGCACAACCACAATGGTGTCTGCTGGTGCACTGATTTCCTGAGATCAGAGGTTGTGCCCCATTGAGGACTCTTCTCTGATTTGTATTCTTATGTGCTACTCTAATAAACTGAGGAAAATGAAAAGCTAGCAATTCATTTGCAAGAACTCTCATAATTTTTGCTAAGTTAGAAACTGGTGTGAATCCAGTGTTTTCAGAAGAATTAATACTGTTATGGTGTTCTATACCTCTTGGTTTCTGATTAGTTTCAATACTGGCTATTGGCCCTTTGGTTCTTACTAGCTAACTTAAGTTTGGCAGAGATTTATGGAATACATTTTAAAGAAATGCATATTTAAGAATATAATATTTGAATTTAAATTAATTTAAAATTACAGTGCCAATTTACAAAGTACCATAATCATTTGAGAATATAATCAAATTAAAATGTAGAAATGCAAACTTACCTAGGTTACCTTATTTTCATTGGGATCAGTTACTCGGTCTAAGCCATAGTCAAGAGTGTTTTGCATTCCTGGCTATCATATGGAAATAAAACAAAGCCCAACAATAACATGTTTGTGTCATATTTACATTGCTTTAGACCCTTGTTTATAATAAGATGTATGATTAAATCTTTTAGCAGGCAGTTGCAAAACAAATTTTGAAACAAAAAGATTGATAGTTCCAAAATAGAATAGCTTTGCTGTTTTGCTTACCAGATCTAAACCTAAACAAGGCAAACATTTTATAAATGTTCTATTTATTGTAGAAAACATAGTATGTCACAATGCCTCAGTGAGAACTGTATATTTTATAGCTTTGTAGAAGCATTGGAATTCGTGGATGCCGAATTCAACATCCTCGGGTTCTTAAGCCTTCATTTTTAAAATTTAAGTTTCTAGCCCTAAAAGCAGGCTTTGAGATACATGGTCAACATGGTATGCAATCATCAAAGACAGGGGAAGGCTTATGTTCTCAGGGGTTAAGCTTCAGTTTCCAGATGACCTCTTAGCACATCCCTAGGATTAGAAGAAGCAGACTCTATTCAGTATCTAGTACCACTGGATAGCAGGCCCCATACCAAGCAACTGACTAGGACTACAAGCTGCAATTTTAATTCTCCTCACTGCAAGGCATTGTGGGAAACTAAAATGGTGCTTCCTCTCATAATGCCCTAGAACAATGCTGCATCAGGGACACTCTCTGAACTATTTAATGCTAGCTCACAGCTGTCATCTGCGAAGCCCACAGTTGCAGGCCTACCGAAGTAGTAGACTATCAAAAGGGCCTTTGCTGAGGGGCCTTCAAAATGCAAAATTCCCTTTACTGTATACCTATTAAAAATACAAGGCCCTTCTTCATTTACACCTGGTGATTTTAGAGGAGCATTTTCTGTGGGTTGTATCCACTAGTGGCATTCTATTGGATCTAGCAGAAGAAAGTCACTGGTGGAACAGGTTGCCCTTTCCTCTCTGCAGCCCCCCACACACATCCCTCAAATTTGCTCAGAGCCTTGGAGCAGATTAGAGACATGCGATAGTGGTTGGTAATGCAGAGAGTAGAGGGTGGGAAGTACTGTAAAACAAGTGATACCACACTGTGCAAGTGGACTTCCAGCTGAGTGAGGTTTCAGTCCAATCCCATGCAATTCTAAGAATGTTCTAGCAAAATCTCAGCATGGAAAGTTAGACCATAGAGAGAAAATAGTACCCGTTGAAGGGAGGAATGCATCGATATGGCAAACAGATTGGTACTGGTATCAGAGTTGCTTTGAGCGTGGCTGAGTTTTGATCAGCCATCTGATGTCTGTTGAAGTTTGGTCATCAATAATTAAACCTCAGCCACTGCTATCTGAAAGGGGGGAAGGAGGGAAACAGCTCAAGAAAGAGTCAAATGCAGCTCTAGTGTGATCAAAGCCACTTCAATGGGGAGGATGAGTTAGGACCAAAGGGGTTCTGCCGCATATAGGCCTTTTCCACAGATGGTGTGTCTTCCCTGCCCTGCATCCCCCAAGCTAAGCTCCAATTACAGTCTGACATTTGCCGGAGGCTTATACCTTCTCTGTCTGTTAACTGCTGGGTTCTCAGTTGGCCTCTTATACTGTGTGCACAAATAAAAGTGGATCTTTGATTATGATTTGGGATTAGGGAATGTAGCTTCTTGGCATGTGTCAAAGTCATACGGCGTGCCGTGATCACCACAGTATTGCTTGGGGAACACCCCACTGGCATCTGCCAGAAGTGAGGCCAAAATAACAGAAGCCTGATGCTGCTGCATGGCCAGCTTGGAGTCTATTTTTCCAGTGGGGAAGATCTACCAAAAGCACCCTTCAGAGCAGCTCAAGGCATGAAGGATCAATATAGGCAAGTCAAGTAGTGAGGAGGCAGATGCTGTGCGCTCGTGGGTCATTTGTGTCACCACACTTGCATCAGCAGTGAGGTTGTGTGTGGGGAGTATAATCACAGCCCTGCAAAAAGACGGATCATCTCACGCAAACTATAGTAGCTGAGTTCAAAGAACCAAATATACATGAAGCAGATATTACAGCAGGCACATCTGTCAGAAGATGGGTTCATTCTCCAACTGCTACCTGTGTGAATTTGTGCCTCACTTCCCTCATCTACAGAAAGTTGGACTTCCTTATCTTTTTCACTAAAACAGCCCACTCACAGTTGAAGCTGCCTGCTGCATTTGTGTGTGATTTACTGCTCTGGCCTTGATGTCTTCCAATCAGATTCCTGCCTTTTACTGTATTTTGGTATCAGGAAAAATAAAGCATTCCGTTTCCTCCAATGAAAGAGTATCTGGCCTTACAGAAGTGTACCTCTGAATGAGTCAATATCAGGTTTGCTTCCATCCAGTTATGAGGCATCCCCAAATCATGCAGAAACATGGCAGCGGTTCTCCCCTGAGGGCAGGTAATCCTCATTCTTACATACACTAAAAGCAAAACCCTTCATGTGTAGGAAGGAGGCATTCCTCTGTTTTTAATCTGAGAATGGGTGTAAAAGTGTGCCTTAGTAGTCACTTCTGGATAAATTGGGGAAACAGAATCATATTGGAAAGCCATTCAGAACAGCCTAGAGCTCTTGCCTCTGGGACAGCTAGGAAGGGCAATCACACTGCATGTACCTTCCCCTCACTGTAGCATAAAGTGTTCCTCGCCAGAGCAAGTACATTTCTGCTTCATACAACTCTGTGAAAAATAAGAATCTGGCCATGCAAACCTAGTGGTGCCCCTCCCTACCCATTTTTCCCCTTCTTAAGTGCATTTGTATACATGTGTGTGAGGTTCTCAACATTTATTGAATAAATATGGGCTACTGCAGTTCAGATCATAATGAGAATCTTTAAAACATACTTAGAGGGTATGTCTATTTCTCACGTACAGGGGTTCGGTGTACCAGCCAGTAGGCTTTCTCTTGACAATCCAGAGCATACCGATCTTCCTTCTTTCGTTCTTTTCCTGTCCTGCAAAGCCAAGCAGAAGGTTCCACTTTAACAAATCAAAGTATGTGACTAATCTACTTTCTTGGGACTATTTGCACCTCTTTCACTGCAATTCCTGGCAAGCACTGGCTAGGAATTACTGACACTGAAACCACTTAGAATGCTGATGATGCAGAGTCATCTGCTACTTCAGGTTTTGCTGGGATTGTCTACTGCTTAGATTCAGGGATCACTGTCCCACCTTTCTTCTTCCATATGTGTGAATATTCTAACTATTAATTATTGAACCAAAAATGGAACAGAAATGTTCTTTAAAAAAACAACTGGATAAACGACTGATAAACGACTTTGAAGGGACCAGAAAGGTCTCTAGGTCACCAATCTCCTCAAAGCACAATTAGCATGTCATTGGGTTACAAGCAGATGATGTTTGAAGTCCAGTGAAGTCAACCTAAGAAGAGCGCTGCTGGTTCAGATCAGAGGCCTTTCTTATCCTACATCCTGCTTCTCACACTGGCCAGCCAGATGCTGTAGAACCACATGTGGGACATGAGGCCAATAGCAGGCCCCAGTCATGCTCACAGCTCCTCATGTTCAGAGGTGTGCTGCCTCTGATACAGGAAGTTGCATACAGCCATTGTAACTAGTAGCCAAGCACCTGCAGACTGTGTTGGAAAATGCAAAGCAAAAACTGTGATGGTAATCAGCGCCTGACTGCATCTATAGATAGACCTTGCTTTCAGTTTCACACGTGGTACTAGCTGGTTCGCCCTAAGAATGAATGCAACCCATCCTCTGAACTGGCCCACAGGAAAGGCTGACATAATTCTAGCTTGTCATTTAACACAGAGATTATAGCACAGGTTTTGTATAAATTGTGACTCTGCCTCAGCATTTCCAGGCTCACATTCTGCCACATTAACTCCTAAAACAGCTACTGAGAATTACTGGAAGTCTTCACTGTATATAGATTTCAAAGTTAGCCACCCTCCTCATCAAAGAAAAGGAAACGATTTTGACTGAAAACATTATTTACACCTTTCAAGCAGATCTTGAAACCCATTTCCCATGTGGTTCTTTGCTTGTAGAAGTGCAACCCCATTTAGTGATGGTTAGTCGCAAGAGGAAAGTCAAGGGTTTCACTCATGCAACAATGTGAGCTTTGAAAGCTGTTTTTTCAAAAGAGGGTGTCTGAAAAAGAGAAGGATCCATTGTCAAGGGCCAGGCGGTTGTTTATTGCTTGACCCACCTCTAGAGTAAAACTAAAAAATGCCTTACCTATACTGCTCCTTGGCCTGCATAATAATAAAGTCCCATTTGTGGTTGATCTTTTTGTTCAGCATGTTGTAATGTTCCTAGAAACACAACAGTTCATTGTGAGAGATCAATGAAGTCAGCAGGTTTCCATTTTGCTCTCAAAGTGAAGGCTGTAACGAAGCACCATGGCAGGCTGCTCTGTGTATGAAGCACTGAAGGGGTTTGATAGGGAGATTTTGTCCCTTGGAATATGAAACAAAATAGCATATGTAAATAAGCCACTGCAGTTATTACTCCATGTGGGTGCAGTGATACGTTATAGGAAACACGGGGCTGCTGCTAATCTAGGTAGCCCTGGACTGAGTTATATACACCAGCTCAGAACTTTGATCCATCTAGGCCACTGCTGCGTACACTGGTTGGCAGCAGCTCCCCAGGGGCTCCAGCAAGAATCTTTTCCAGCCCTGCCCAGAGATGTCAGGGACTGAACCCAAACATTTCTGCATGCAAAGCACATGCTCTGCCATGCAACCATCCTAACCTTTCCTCAAGGCGGGACTGATTCTGTCTTCTCTGTGTGGACTTCTCTGATTCCTCCTCCATAATATATTTCATTTCATTCCTATGCAATTTAATAGCCAAAGCTCTTTGGGAAATTTTTGGGGGTCACAAAAATTGTGACCCCCAAAATGCAGCATACTATAAAATCTTTAACATAGACAATTCAGTTTACTTGATGGCCAGATGCCATTACAAGTGTGTTTTATCCTGACCTTGCTCCACATCATTAGAGGGTGAAGTTAGGGAAGCACATCACCTAATGATGTCAGGATGCAAGGAGAGTTAAGCCACAAGCAATGGGGGGCGGGGGGGGACATAAGAACTTGACACTAGACTGCTAAATTGTTCTTATAATATGTAGCGCCACGGACATTCCAATCTTGCATGGTGACCAAGGGAGCATGTTGAGACACAAGAAGGTACTGTGACTTCTGGCATTCTCCAGCTAGACGTTGCAGGCCTTGTTTGTTTGTTTAAACGTGCATAGATCACATCATAATTGCTTTACCTGGTTGAGCACTTGCCTGTTATTATATAGTAAAAAAATCTTACATTAATGTGTCTTATATATCCACACAAATCAACAAAAAATCTATACCGTGCATCAGCATTACATTAAAAAAAACCCTGTCTTACCAAAGATATTCACCACTTCTGCAATCCATCAGTTTCTGTATAAACCTATGAATTTATTTATTGATTTTCTATACTGCCCAATAGCCAACAAATAAAACCATGTAATATAGGAATATGACAAAACGCAATTAAAACTTTTTACATTTTTTAAAATTACAGAATAAAACCAGAGTAAAAAAGAACAAATTCTCACTGCACCCATTTGGTAAATAACAGTTCAAACTTTGCCAGAGAACCAGCCATTTTGGTCAGATATACACTCAATATCGCCCCTCTCCAGGATCTATGCAAGCATTAGTAGGATATATAATGAATTATATCTTCTACTTCTCCCAATCCACAAAGGCATGAATGTTTCTCACAGGAAATATCACCCAAATCTATTACCATTGTCTGTAAACTGTACTAAGATTAAAGATTTTAGTTCAAAAAGATAATTCAGTTAATTAAGTATCTATTTCATTAGGAAATAAAAAGACAAAATTCTGGAAAGCAGACTATTGGTCAAATCTTTTCATCATTGAAGATTTCAAAATTTCCTTGGCTTTTACTGAAGCCTGACTGAATAGGGACCCTTTGGCCAAACCATACCGTTCAACATCCTATTGATGTGAGCTAGCCAGGAATTATAGGTTCCTATGCACATCACATTTAATTAAAATAATGCAACAAATTGATCCAAAGCAAAAATTGTAGTAATAGTTGCATGGTTTTATTGAAGATGCTTAGTCAAAAGTTTGTATAAGAATATTGTATGTCCTAAGTTCTACCTACCTTTTCATATTCTTCAAGAATTCCTTTTCGTTTAATATTTTTCTTGGCTAGGTAAATGGCTGGGAACACAGAAAAAAAGGCTGCATTATTTGTCCAACTGCAAAACCCATGTAATTAATGAGATGGCAAAACAACTCAGAACAACATTTTTTCCTAAATTAGCCCTGTCCAGATTCATTCCTGTTGCTTTTGCAAGAAACAGATGTGATTCCAGTGTCCGTCCAACCCACACAGACCACATATGCCATTATCACTATCTTATTATCTATCTCTCTATTAGATTTATATCCCACTTCTTTCTTACACTGAACCCAAAGCAGCTTACAGCATTTTCCTCCTGCTGATCTCAATCTTATCCCCACAACAACAACCCTGTGCAGTTGGGATAGGTTGGGCTGAGAGTCTGCAACTGGCCCAAAGTCACCTGGTTGGCTCCATGGCCAAGCAGAAACCAGAACCCAGCTGTTTGGAGTCTCAGACCCATGCTCTTACCAACTACACCATATGCATAAATCCTATGCTGGCTTATGGTACATCAGTGCACACCATAGGTACACACACCATAGGTGTGTACACACCATAGGTGTAATGAAGGCAATACCAATCTGAGCTGTGATGACAGCAGCCATGCTGGTAGCAGCTTAAGGAAAGGATGAGGAGAATATTCCGAGTGCAGGATCCAGATCTCTTGGACAAACTCTCCTATTCAGGCTTTGATATGAGTGTTGGATATAAATAGATGTAAGATCAAAATGGGTACATTCCTTATGTCCAGGTCAGCAGCTAGCGATTTTTATATGCTTAAGGTTACAATCCTATCCTATTCAAGTATGCTACTTTGAGCTCAATGCAAAGTAGACATGCATAGGATTGTACTGCAAAAGTCCCAAGAGAGATGTTATCAAAATAGTACTGTGCTGCTATATGAAGATCTGGTGAAGATTTTTAAATATAGCTTTGCTTTTTTCCCCTTCATGGCCTTTAAAAACTGGTGATTGCTAGCTGAACATATGAAGGGAACTCATACGAAATCAGATCATTGGTCGAACTAGCCCAGGGCTGTAGTCTGACAGGAAACTGTTGAGCCTTCCTCTGTCGTTTCTTGGGCTCCTTTTAACTGACAGTGGCACAGGCTGACCTAGGACTTTCTGTGAGCAGATCAAGGGCTACCAGTGAGCTACGAAACTACCTGTTTCGGTGGACATGAAGAACACAGTTCAGAGGTACAATTTCAAAAGTTCAAAAGCTTCAGAATTTACCATATCACTGACTTGCATGTGTGAACCATGCTTTTAAGTTTGTCCACAAGAAAGTAATACTCTTTGGGCCTGAACTGTAAAACCTCAGCCTGCAGCGGAAGCCTGCATTTTCAAATGCTCTGCTTTGTGAAAAAAAGAGAAAAAACCCTCTGTGGCTGTGGAATGCTAGCATATGAGGAAGAAGGGTTTCTAGCCTCGCCTTCTTGCTTGTAGGTCTGTTTTCAGTGTAGAGGGATTCTTTGTATGAAAAGGCAAATTCTAGCATGTGATCTTTCCATGGACACTTTGAAGTGGTACAGTTCCAGGAAGTGTTGTACTGCACAGTTTCTCTGAATGTGCTCTGAGCTACTATTTGAAAGAATCGTTGAAGTGAAGAGGAAGTGGGAGGATGGAATCCTCTTTAAAAATGTTTTGGCAGAAATTGTTGATCACTTAAACATTGCTCATTCCCATTCTACCTAGAGCATAAATTTCTTTTAATTTCAACAAGGCGGCAGATAGTGCCTCTCCACAGTTTTGCCTTACCATAGTCTGTATCTTCTGCTGTCCACTGCTGAGTTGGCCAGAAGTATGGTGTCTGCAAGAAAAACTAGAAAACTGAGACTCAGATTATCAATCCATATTGTAACTAGATTCTCTAAATCAGTAAAGAGAAACTTTTTTCAGCCCAAAGGGCAAAATGATTCCAGGCAAGCATTTCAGGGACTACATGACACTATGAAAACTGAAAACAGACGGCTTTATTAGGTTTTAGTCCTATACTTCATAAAAGCTGCCATATATAAACCTTCATGTTGATTGTAAAGCAGTATATACACATTTTAGACACATCAAGAAAAATACACTATTATTTTATTTATTTATTTATTTATTTATTTATTTATTTATTAAAACATTTTTATGCCGCCCCATTTGCCGAAGCCTCGGGGCGGCTTACAAACAATATTCTGCATGTCACCACTTGGCATGGTCCTGCCATGAGCTGGAGACAATCTACCACCTGCTCTTCCTGCTTCCCCGGAATTCTGATCAGGTGCTGAAGTGCAGTAAATGTTCCCTACATGGGGTGGGTGATTTCTTGAGGTCTGGGGGCCATTTTCAAACCCCCTGCACTGGTTGCAGTTCACACAGTGCTGTGGGCCCCAAGGTACCTGTCCTATGTTTCAGTTGCTGCTGCACTTACCTGAAATCTGTAGAGGCTGCTATCTGGCCTGAGAGTGAGATTCTTTGGTTCCTGAAGAGGATAGATGTATCCATATCCAACAATCATATTTCCCAAGCTGAGTGCCTCTAAAAACAAACAGAGTCTTCTTTTTTCATTGGTACAGACACAGTAAAGTCTATTTAAAAGACAGGAATTCAGATATAACCAATATTGGAAGACTGACAAAGTACTAACTGGTTTTATAACTCTACCCACCTTCATTGGTTATCTGTAAGCGCTGCATAATCCACTGTAATATATCAGAACCTGCAAGGCAAAATCAATAACATAAAACGTGAACAGTCAGAAGCAGAGTTTTATTACATTCTAACTCAGTGACCTGTCAGCAGTAACTATCACTAATACAGGTGTCTTGAGGGGGAAAAAACAGATCCAGACATGCAACTGCTAGCCTGAACTGCAAGATACTTGTCACTGGAAGCAAAATAATCTTTTTCCAGGTATTTGAAAATAGTTTAAAAAGTGATCACTGCCCTATTGTGCATGCTCATTTCACATTCACTTCTGAGGAATAGTACTTGAAGATGTTTGCATTATTAGAAAAACATACAAAACCTGTTCAATCAGAGGGAAGAATGGGGCACAAGAAACACATTCTGATGGAGCAGCTCTCCCAACCTGGACACACCTGGATACCAGGATCAACCTCTAAGACTTCTTCTGAGTCACCTCTGAGGGGGGCTTGGAGAATGGCAACTGGAAGGGAGAGGGCCTTCCCAGCGCTGGATCCCCAGTTATGGAATGATCTCCCCCTACTGAGCCCTCCCCCTTGCATCAGCTAAGAGTGCTCTCTTCTCCCAGGCATTTCATAGCATGGTGGGGCATTTGTACCAGCTGTTTTTAATGGGTCTAGTTTGTACTAAACTTGTTTCAGCTGGCAAAAAATTTTGATTTTTTTATATTGGAAAATTGTGCTATTTTTGTTGTGTTTGTGGTCTGTGTTTATGAATTGTTGTGAACCACCCAGACAGCTTTGCCTACAGGGGAGCATTATGAAATACATAAATACATGGGTATATGCCATCAGAAGCAAACCTGCTACTAGAATTAGAACACCCTCCGTGCTCCACAGCTCCGCGGCCGAACACCTGCTGCGCCACACTGCCGCCGCCGCCGGACCTGAGGGCACCACCGGGCCGGGGGCCAGCTGACGCCACGCCTGTGGCCACCGCTGGACCACCCCGGGCACGGAGGACGCTGGGGCCACGCCAGAGCCACTCCAGGCCCGCTGTCGACGGCGCAGAGGAGGGCGCCGCCATCTTGACGCTGGGCGGGTTCCCGCGCCCCCCCTGCTCCCCCCCTGCCGGCAACGGTGAGAGCGACGCCAATCGGGGCAGGGCGCGTGGGCAGGCACCAGCTTAACCCGCCGGACGCGGCCTGGGGCCGGCAGCCGAAGGGCGACGGCCAAAGGGCGGTGCCGCCGTTTGTGGCCGTGCAGGGCTGGGCTGGGGGGAGGACTAGGTCGGTGGGGGGGGATTTCTAATTTTGTATTGGGGGGGTGGTAAGGGGGAGTTTTTGATTGTTTTAAAGGTTTTTATTGTATTTTAATCTGTTTTATGGAGTCATCCCTGGCCATGCCGACACTTGAGTTTCCTGGGGAGTGCGGGGGCGCTGCCATTGGCGTGGTCACGGGCAATGGGCGTTACAGCGGTGGGGGCTTAACGTGTCTGCGTAGAAGAAGGAGGGACAGATGGCTGACACCTGTCCCTCTTTCTGGTTTTGTCCCCAGCCGGAGGGTGCCAGGTAGTCTTGTCAACTGCCCTTCGGGCCTGATGGTGCTGCTGCTTAATGCCAGATTGGTCTACAATAAATCTTCCCTCATCCACAACTTGATTGTGGATGAGGGGGCTGACCTGGCTTGCATAATGGAGATGTGGGCGGGAGAGGGGGAGGGATATCGCCCTCTCTCAAATGTGCCCGCCCGGGTATTTAGTTCAGCACCGTCCACCCCTGGAGGGGAGGGGAAGGGAGGGGAGGGGGGGTCGCTTTGGTTTACCGCGCCTCTATCTCCCTCACGGGACTTCCGGTCCCTTTGAGGCCAGGGCTGGAGTGTCTCTACTTGGTGTTGGGTGACCGAGACAGATTGGGGATTCTGTTGGTGTACCGTGCACCCTTCTGCCCAACAGTCTCCCTGCCTGAGCTGACAGAGATCGTCTCGGACCTGGTGTTGAGGACCCCCAGGATGTTGGTCCTGGGGGACTTCAATCTCCATGCCGAGACTGGTCTGACCGGGGTGGCTCAGGACTTCATGGC